GTCACAGTTGGACAAGATTCTAAGAAGTCACTGCAACATGTTCCTGCATTTTTTTCGTGCTCCTCCAGCCAACACAACTTTGATTTAATTTTCTGGAGCAATTTATGCTGTTGTTTTAGGTATAGCTTCCTGTGTGAGAAAGGCATTCATGTGTTAGAGCCTGTCTGCAGAACAAACAACTAAGTCAGATTTTTACCGATGCCTGAAGGCTTAAGGAATCTATTTCAAAAAACATGACACCTACCAGGATTCTGGATAGAGGAACAGATGAATTGTGGGGCACAGCAAGCTGTTTCTCAAATTAAAATTCAAGTTGCATCACTATGTTAGAATTCATTAATCAGAAGAGTATGGAAATGATTGTGCAGTTGTTTTCTGCTGAATTTTCTGAAGGGATTTTTTTTTTAGCTTGATTATACACTTAATCTTTATTTCATTCTCTTTAGTGCCTAAATACTGCCTTTTTTTTTTTTTTATATGAGATGGAAAAAAGTAATAGTTGATTTGTAGAGTAGTAGCAGCTACTGCATGGGATTGATGCAAACTTTATTCTGAACCAGTTCCAAAGGGATTTAAGTAGTGAATTTATATTATTACACTGTAATTCTCATCGTGAAGCTGTGGGGTGTTGTCAGAGTATAACATGGCAGTTTATCTCTCCCCTTCAGCCATGTCCTCTCAAAGTGCCCCCTCATCTGTGCTCTAAGAACACTTTTCAGAGGGTCTCTGAGGGAGCTTCTCCTGTTTTCCAGGAAATGTGAGCTTTGGGCAGGTACCTGTGGCACAGCACAGGTGGGGTGTGGGCTGGGGGTGGGACTGGGCTGCAGTTATTTGTTGGCTGCAGATCTCAAAGAAACACCAGTCATTTCAACTCATATCAATTATTCTTTTCCCTCATTAACCCAAGGTTTATGGGGAGGCAAATGTCCCCCTCCTGTGTTCCTTGTAAGTGGTGGAAGCAGTGTTTGAGCTCAGTTGTGAGTGTCCTTCTTACTTCATGATCTTAACTGGGAACATGTTTGGTGCTGCACTTAAAGGTTATTAAAGATAATAGCATCTTGTGCAATTGGGCAATGTTTAATTATAGAGTTCAGCTCCAAGTATATGGAAAGACTGTGTTTAACATCTTCCCTCCTGGCATCTGAGTGTGCTCATCCCAACCCACCAGAAATAACTCAGTGGTTTAACTGTTTCATCAGTACTTTGCTTAACAGAAAAATCTGAGCACAGGTAACTGTAGGTTGTTAAGAGGTGTCTTGGTTTTACCAAGAAAATAAAATATGGGCAAATAAAGATTGTTTCTCTCTTATGTTGTTGCTCTGGTGTCATCTGAACTCTCCAAAGTTAGTGGGAGTAGTGATCATCTGGACATTGCAACAGGCCCAGGAGATCTCATTCCACTGCCAGTGTTACACAGGTGTTGTGAAGGTGTAAAGGCAGATAATGCTCATGCTGACCTATCTTACAACAGGAGTGAAGGAAAGGGGAGAAAAAAGAACCCTATTTAAAGTTGCAAGACAAGTTGGTGCAATCCTCTTTTGATCTTCCTCACTGTAGACAAGAACCTACTTTCCATCTGTTTCTTTCATTCCTTTTCCTTTCCATCTTTCTTTCCCAATTCTTCTAATGCCCAGACACATATATTAAGTCCTGCCCTTCATTTATTCTTTTGGCATTGTTTCCATTTCACTTTCCCTGTGTTTCATTCCTGTATCTTTCTTGTTTAGACCAAGTGGAGGATCCAGCTGGCCGTAGCAGCCATGTAGGACCCTTCAGGAACCTGATGGTAAGTGCACGTGTGTGCTTATACTCAGGCTTCCACCAGGTTCTGTCCTCTGAGGCATTTCCCATCTCCTGAAGGCTTCTGTTGGTTCCTCTGAAACTGTGACTAAACTCAGGGACAGACCTTGGGCTACTCACTTGTATCAGAATAGGAGGTTGAAGTTTTCGTGGAAAATCTGCAGGAAGAAAACAATGCAAATCTTTCAGGTTTACATGAGTTAAAAAGCACTTTGAGAACTTATGGGGGAAGGTCTCAACAGGTGTTAAAATATCTTCACACATTCCTGAACTCCAGGTACTGAAAGCTGGGAGAGCATATCAGTGAACTGTCTCTTTACTATTACTTTATTCTTAAATTCTCTTCCTGGGCATCTACTTTTGAACATTCAGGGCCATGAAATGATGCATCTGGGACAGTCATTGCCGTGCTTGAAAGAAACCTCCTACCTAGAACAAACTAAGTCTTAAAGGAAAACATCACCAATGGGTTGGTGTCTCTGGCTGCTGTGTGTCAGCAGTTGGTGTGACACATCTGAAATGCTGTACACACAAAGCAGTTTGGCTCACTGTTCAGAGCAAGGGCAGGTTTGGTGCTCAGTGGATCTTCTTTTCAAATGCATTGATGCTTAAAGGCCAAGAACTCATATCACAGAGCAGGTTGCATCTCTTTTTAGCAGTGTGGCAGCAGAGCTTGCAAGTGATCTTCTTTCCATCAGTGTGTGACATGAGTAACTCGATTTTTGTGTGCAGATCCTGCTATTGTAGTGATTTCCCAGATTATAATTGGATTTGGGATACTATGAATTGTGTATTCTATAAATGGATGACACTTTGACACACTTGTGCAGGCTTTAGCACTTGGCATTGCTGTTGTTCCCTCTACATGCTTTACCTCACACTGGAAGGATATTTCCAATGTTGTTAAAAGGAAGAATTAATTTGGTGTTGGTTTGAAGACTTTGACAGGAACCTGTTGTTATGCTGAAATTCAGTGCTGCTGTGGCATTAGGTGACTTGTCCAGTGACTTCATCTGTGATACCATCATATGCTGCACCATGTGTAAAACAGTGTCTCTGAGCATGGCCAGGGTTGGCAGCTGAGAGGGGCCTGTGCACCAATCTTTGCCTCCTCGTGTCCAATCTCACCTGTAGAGACAAACTGAGAAGTTTGTCATTTAAGTCAAGATATTGATGTTGGTCTTCAGATGATAAGTGGTCTGCAAAAAAATCAACAGCTCTTGGGGTTCTGGCAATAAAATCAGGTTTGTTATATCACTCCTAAGGTGTGTTGTGATGCATGTTTGATTCCCCAGGAATGTTTTGTAATCTTACATTTACACCTTTCCCTAGAGATGGAACCGTTTGCTTGTGTCACTGTACATTCCCAGAGAGATTTCAGGTGACTTGGCAGATAGTTCTGGAAGCTTATTTGAAATCCTTTATACTCAGATCATGGTACTACTGGTTCTAATTATGACCATTAGAAGTGCTGATAATTATTTTTTATGTTCAAATGGGGACATTCAGTAGCCTGTCAGGTAAAGATGCACTTGAACTCCTTGTGCCTGTGTGAACACTCAAATATGTGCTAAATCTTCTGGAAGTTGTAGGTGTTTGATATAAAATCAAAGTTAAATACTGCATTGTCCAAATAATTCATTGTAGCAGGTTAGACACGGGTATTGTTCCAGTATTTGAGGATATTCAGGGATAACTGTTAGTTCACCTTAGGGGGGATACCTGTGTGTGTTCCAAAGGTGACAGAAATTCACCCTGAGTGACTGTTGTCAATTTATGAGACTAAAAACTGTTCAATTGGACTAAGAAAATAAAAAAAGGTTTGTTACCTACATGAAACTGAAACACACTGGAATTTGGAGGTGGCCTGTGAAATCTGAGCTCCTTGAGCGGAAATACAGATAATTATTTAGATAGAATGTTCAAATCCAAACAAGTGTTTCCTGTCTCTGAGCTGCTGTCTTGGGGAGTGTACTTGGGACTTCTCTGTTTGAATAGAGGAACGTGTTTTTTAAAAGGCATTTCAGTTTCTTGGCTCAAGATGTGAAAAATATTTGAGGGGTAAAAAGGAGGAACTTGTTGACAGGACTGTGACTTGGAAGAATGTGCTCCTAAATAGGAAATGGGTTTAGGGCTGTGATGGACACTTGGGATCAGAGGGAAGGGGCAGCGTGTTATAAAATAGCTTTTTGTGTGTTGGAGGGGGCAAAGGAGGAATCTGGATTGCTGTTTCTGGAAAGGTCTTGTTCCCAGGAGCTGGTGTGTAGAAATGGGAAGTTTCAGAGGAGACACAGTTTTATGTGTTCTGTGTGGAGAGTGTGGGCTGTGCAGTGAATTCAACTGGAAGACAGCATTACTTGTTATTACACACTCCTTATCAAAACTTCTGTATATTATAGGGCTGAATCTGTAAAATTAATGGAAAAAATCAGCAGTATTTTGTAGTGCAGTGGAAAATGAAGTTTTCAGTGTGTTTACATCTTGCACCACTGGTCAGCTCTTTGCATAATGCCCTTTTGTGTTCATTATCCTCTGCAACTAATACTTGCTGCTTCACTTTGCTAACAGAGAGTGTTAGCAAACTTGTTTGTGTCAGTGGACACAACAAAATACCTTTATATTTTGCTGTTACCTGGTTCCATCTAATTTGGTTTTACTGCCTTTGCCTTGTTGGTCAAGCTCATGGTGCTTTTTGGTCTTCTCAGATGTTATTGCTTTGTTGCTTTTATTATTCAGGTTTATAGAGCTACAGTAACTTCTCTGGGTTTCTGTTTCATCAGGTTTCCAATTAACATTAAGGAGTAATAGTATATGAAGAAATTTTCTATTTTCCATATATTTCTGTGAGATACAGGAATTTAATGGCCATAATAAAGTCTTGGGTAACTTCATGATGTGAGCTGGTTAACCCTGGACAGGACATTTCTCCTATAGTTTGTTCTTGCTTTGAAAGTGAGGAAAGTATTTTGGAGTCTGAGGTTTTTAGAAACTCATTGTTATCTTTAATTATGATTTCTTCTGGGCTCCAGAGGCTGCTTTGCCTCAGTGCTGTCTGTTCTGCTCATCTGTCATTTGTATTCCTCAGGAAAGCAGGGTCTCTGCAGAAGTGGGTTACATTCCAAAGCTGGGGGTTTAACTCAAGTTTGACAAATAAGAGTTATTGAACAGGAATAATAAGTGTTGGGATTTTTCCTCCCTAGGAAAGAAGAAGACTCAGGAAGGTAAAAACAAGGGAAAGAAGGCAGCAGATACAAAACAGAAAAAGACTGATTTGGATTCTACTTCTGCAGATATGAAGGATTCTAAAGAGGGTAAGTTCTCAAGTATCTTATTTTTTTACTTCTAACTATCATTTTGAATCAAAGAACACTTTTTGACATGTTTAGTACATTAGCAGGTTATGTTAGTGTAGCAAAGTGAACATGTTTATTCTTAGTTAGGAACTGGGGTATTAGAAGCACGTCACAGATGTACAAATCTGGCCACAGGAAAAACTATTGAACTGCAAAATTTAGGCATAAACTTGAACTCCTTAGAACAGAAGAGCAGAGTAGAGTTCTTATTCTAAAATATTGTCTTTGGAGCTTAGTTACACAGTCATTATTTATTGCTAGTTAACAGTGTCAAGGGGAAAAAAACCAATATTAATTCTTTTGACCCGTAGCTCTTCCATGCCTTCACTCTGTGGTCCCTTCTGCTTGCCCAACACACACACCACTGTTGTGATTTAGGAAGAGGGAGAAGCAAGGTGTAGCACACTCTGAAGAGTTTGGTAAAAATATCTCCTGCTTTTCTCGTGTTTCAGGTCATAAAGAGGAAGATGAAACGCCTTCTGCTTCTGCTGTGCTGTCCCTGGAACAAACAGCTGTGATTCAGGAAATGGTAAATCAGGATGTGCTTCCAAAGCTGATGATCCCCAGTCCGACCAACGAACCACAAGTGGTACCTGAAGACAAGCAAGGAGAGGCAATAAACTGTGCATCAGATGATTTGGATGACGATGAAGAGGAGGAGGATGAAGAAGAGGAAGATGAGGAGGAGATGGAAGATACCAATATGCCTAAAGAAAATGCTGAAATGCCTTTGATGTGCGAAGAAAAGTTAGACTCCCTGGAAGAACAAAAGAGCACGTCGGAGGAATCGCCAGAAAACTCTCCAAAGAAAAAGCTCGTGGTGAAAATCCCCAAAGCAAGAGGTGAATCCAACGGTGACGTCCAGGAAACGTTCATGTTTCCCTGTCAGCACTGTGAGAGGAAGTTCACAACAAAGCAAGGGCTCGAGCGCCACATGCACATCCACATATCCACCCTCAACCACGCCTTCAAGTGCCGCTACTGCGGGAAGGCCTTCGGGACCCAAATTAACCGGCGAAGGCACGAGCGACGCCACGAGGCCGGGCCCAGACGGAAACCCTTCCTAACCTTGACCTCATCACAACACCTGGATAACGTTGCTGATAACCAGGTAATTGTGGATGATGGTCTTAAAGACGACCTGAACGTTCCCGGTCTCGTGCAAGACTCCGTTGTCTTGGATTCTGAGAAGGCTTCCCAGGAAATGTCCAACTCCGCGTTTGCTGAGGAGAACAAGGAGCCCAAAGAGTTGCACCCGTGCAAATACTGCAAAAAGGTGTTTGGAACTCACACCAACATGAGGAGGCACCAGCGCAGGGTTCACGAGAGGCATCTTATTCCCAAAGGGGTCAGGAGAAAAGGATTCTTCACCGAAGAGCCACCGCTTCCCACAGAGCCGGCCCCGTCAGTGCAGAGCGTGTACATAGCCAGCACGGAGATCGAGGAGGAAGGGGAAGTAGATGATGTCTATATTATGGATATTTCCAGCAATATCTCTGAGAATTTAAATTATTACATTGATGGGAAAATCCAGTCCAACAGCAGCACGAGCAATTGTGATGTGATTCAGATGGAGTCCAACTCTGCAGACCTGTATGGGCTGAATTGCATCATCAGTCCGGTCACGGTGGAAATTTCCTCAAATATAAAGGTTACACAAACACATGTGAGTGAACCTCCTAAGGAACCCTCTAGCAGTGGGAGCAGTGAATCCAAAAAGAGAAGAACTGCCAGCCCTCCTCTTGTACCAAAAATAAAAACTGAAATAGACCCAGAACCTATAACTCCTACAAGTTCTTTAAATCTTCCTCTTAGCATTTCAACAGAAAGCTTATCTTTTCATAAAGAAAAAGGGGTTTATTTGTCATCAAAATTAAAGCAGCTGCTTCAGACACAGGACAATAAGAAGATAACTCCATCAAGTGAAATCCCGAAACTAGGACCTTCTGTTACATCATCACCTATTTTGCCTCCAGTATCCAGCAGATTTAAAAGAAGGACCAGCTCTCCTCCCAGTTCTCCACAGCACAGTCCAGTGCTTCGAGACTTTGTCAAATCAGGTGAGGGAAAAGCTGTGTGGAACGATAGTATTCGGAGCTCAAAAATGCCAAAGCTAGAAAGCCACAGCAGCTCACCTGCTTGGAGCTTGACTGGAAGGGAGGACAAAGAGACTTTGAGCCCTCATTGCTATGAAGAATACAAAATATCAAAAGACTGGACAGCAGCTCCAGCATTTGGCAACGTGTGCAACCAGCAGCCGCTGGATTTATCCAGTGGTGTGAAACAAAGGTCTGACGTCAAAAGTAAGACTCAGGTTCCCTGGGAGTCCGTTTTAGACCTGAGCGTGCATAAGAAGCCCTGCAGCGATGCAGAGGTCAGGGAGTGCAAAGAAAATTCCATCCAGCCAACGTGCAGTGGTGTTAAAAAGAAGAAGCCAACCACGTGCATGTTACAGAAGGTGCTGCTGAACGAGTACAACGGGACGGACGCGGCCCCGGAGGGCGCGCTGGGGGGGAGCGGCAGCGCCAGCCCCGGCAAAGCCCCGGAGCCTCAGGCAGAGCCCGACGTGGATCCCGGGCTCTCGGCATCGTCTTCCACTGACACTCAGCCCCTCAATTCTTCCGCTTCCCCTGTGCCACAGGCACCCGCTGTGCCCCCTGTGTGCCAGCTGCCCCCCTTGCTAACCCCCACCAACCCCCCCCTCCCCGCCGCCCTGCCCGCCCGTGTTAACAGTCGCTACATCGCCTCCTCCCCTGCTCCCAACCATGCCCTTACCCATTCCAGATGTGTCTGCCAGTGCCACTAACACCTCCTCCTGTCCATCACCACTCTCCAACACTACTACCCAGTCCCCACTACCAGTTCTTTCACCTACAGTTTCTCCTTCTCCATCCCCTGTTCCTTCTGTTGAACCTCTTATTTCTGCTGCCTCACCTGGCCCTCCTACACTCTCTTCCTCGTCTTCCTCCTCCTCTTCCTCCTCTTTCTCCTCCTCCTCCTCTTCATCATCTCCATCTCCGCCTCCTCTTTCAGTAGTTTCTTCTGTTGTTTCCTCTGCTGATAATCTTGAAAGTTCTCTCCCAATAATAAAACAGGAAGAAGCTGAAAACGAGCAGCAGAAAGCAAGAGAAGATCCTCACACTTCCAGCGACTCGGGAGTCGTGCAGGAAACGTTCAGTAAGAGCTTTGTGTGCAATGTCTGCGAGTCCCCTTTTCTTTCCATTAAAGACCTAACGAAGCATTTATCTGTTCATGCTGAAGAATGGCCCTTCAAATGTGAATTCTGTGTACAGCTTTTTAGGGATAAAACAGACTTGTCGGAACATCGCTTTCTGCTCCACGGAGTGGGCAATATCTTTGTTTGCTCCGTCTGTAAAAAGGAATTTGCTTTTTTGTGCAATTTGCAACAGCATCAGCGGGATCTCCATCCAGACAAGGAGTGCACACATCATGAGTTTGAAAGTGGGACTTTGAGACCCCAGAATTTTACTGATCCCAGTAAGGCCAACGCGGAGCACATGCAGAGCCTGCAGGAAGATTCCTTGGAACCTTCCAAAGAGGAGGAAGATGAAGATCTAAATGATTCCTCTGAAGAGCTTTATACTACTATAAAAATAATGGCTTCTGGCGTGAAATCTAAAGATCCAGATGTTCGTATGGGCCTCAATCAACACTACCCGAGCTTTAAACCACCTCCCTTCCAGTATCACCATCGCAATCCTATGGGTATCGGAGTTACTGCCACAAACTTCACTACCCACAATATTCCTCAGACTTTTACTACTGCCATTCGATGCACAAAATGTGGGAAAAGTGTCGATAACATGCCCGAGTTACACAAACACATACTGGCCTGTGCCTCTGCCAGTGACAAAAAGAGATACACCCCTAAAAAAAATCCAGTACCCCTCAAACAGACAGTGCAGCCCAAGAACGGCATGGTGGTTATAGCTGGGCCTGGGAAGAACGCCTTCAGACGAATGGGTCAGCCTAAAAGACTCAATTTCAATGTTGAGATTAGCAAAATGTCCTCCAATAAACTAAAAATAAGTGCATTGAAAAAGAAAAACCAGCTCGTCCAGAAAGCTATCCTGCAAAAAAAGAAATCTGCCCAGCAGAAGGCGGAGCTGAAAAATAATCCCTCCGAGTCGGACTCTCACATCTGCCCCTACTGCAACAGGGAGTTCACCTACATCGGGAGCTTGAACAAACACGCCTCCTACAGCTGTCCCAAAAAACCCATCTCTCCCTCCTCTAAAAAGAATTCTTCCAAAAAGAGTGCGAGCTCCTCGCCCGCCAGCAGTGACAAAGGCGGCAACCAGCGGAGGCGAACGGCGGACGCGGAGATCAAGATGCAGGGCACTCAGACCCACCTGGGCAAGACCCGGGCACGGACCTCGGGGCCGGCCCAGCTCCAGCTCCCCTCGGCCTCCTTCAAGGCCAAACAGAGCGTGAAATTCGTACCTTCCATGCGCTCTAAAAAGCCAAATTCGTCTTCGTCCCTGAGGAACTCTAGTCCTGTAAGAGTGTCTAAAATGTCCCACGTGGATGGGAAAAAAACTAAGGTGGTCGCTAAGAACAGTTCCTCTGCAATGCCCAGCAAAGCGTCCCGGAAATTGCACGTCAGGATACAAAGGAATAATAAAGCTGTTCTGCCAAGTAAATCTGCTGTGGCAAGTAAGAAAAAGGCAGACAGGTTCAGTGTAAAGTCTAGAGAGAGGATTGGGGGACCCATCACGCGGAGCCTGCAGCAGGCAGCAAATGCAGAGGCAGCAGAAAACAAAAGAGATGAAAGCAGTACAAAGCAAGAGCTAAAAGATTTCAGGTAAGCGTTTCATTTGAAGTTGAAACAACCCAGGAACACGTTGCTTGCTGGTTTGCCAGTTTTCTTGGTCTTTTTTTTTTTTTTTTTTTTTTTTTTCCCTTTTGGAGTTTCTCATGCTTAAATAAAAAAAAAAAAAACAGAACAAAACAAAGAAAAGTTGCATTTCCTGAACCGTGGTTGAGCAGCTCACTGATGCCGAGGTCTGATGTACATACTTGATGCATTTTGTCATGTTGTCATGAAATAATACACGGTTTGTATAGAGAATGGCTTTAATTATAAACTGAATTGAAAGCTCTGGAAAAAAAAAAAAAAAGATGTCAATACTTGAGTGCAAATAAACTTTGTCGTTAAACTCAATGTTATTGGAGACACTGACCTTGTATTTGGTATCTGAGGTGGCCCAGAACCATTCTAGATTTATTTATGGCTAAAAATCGTGACTGCATTCTTTACTCACTCAAGTAACTTGCTTTGGTTTGTAATAAAAAGCATTCTCTGCATATATATATAAGTATATATATAAAAGAAACAAACCATGACCAAATACTTCAAAAATGTATGTGCATACGGATTGAGTCAGATCATTAAATACTTAATATAAGGGAAATAGACATGTAAGAAAATTTACATGAACATGTAAATTTGTTAGAATTATCATGCTTTTATGTTTCACTATAAAATTTTATAATTAAAGTTCTATTTCTTTTTGAGAAGAAGCATTTTAATCACAAGAAAGGGTAATACTTCAATAAATAAATAAAATCTTGATCTACGTGCCTGAGTCCCGACTCACGTCTTCATGTAGTCTCTGCAATCACTAGTATATTTTGCACAGTGTTTAGAACCTCTGTTACTTTGCTCCTGCCCTGTTATTCTTGGAAACAGGTGTCTGATTTGCCAAGGAACTTTCCCAAAGCTCATGGGTGATTTTGGGGTTGGGGGTTGCAGCGCTGGCTGTGATTAACACCAGATTGAGGGGTGAGGGGGGGAGGATTTATCAAAGTCATGGCTAAGTGGAGGAGGGGGAGGAACTGGCAGCCTCTGGCAGAACAAGTGTCCCTGAGCAGGATCTGTTGAGTGTCAAAATCCAAACTGTTCACAGCTTGTGTGTCTTATGGTGGAGGCTCCGAGGTGGAAATTGTGAGGAAATGCTTTGTAAAGTAAAGGTTCTCTATAGCAGAATTATTCCCAAGGGCTGGAGGGGAATTTAACTTAAAATAGTCCATACCCAAATTAGGATGTGTTGAAGGAAAAATATCTTATTGGAATTTGGAGACTAAGGGTGTAAAAAATGCCTTTTAGGAACAAGAAATGTCTCCCAGGCCTGTTCTCTTGGGACATAAACATCTTCCTGTTAATTCTCATCAGCTGCTCTCTCAGTGTTATGTGTGAAACTGTATTTAAATGATGCCAGAACAGATCAGAATAAGAAGCCAAAATGACACATCTTTCCATCCAAATGAATCATTTGACCTCAGGCAAAATAACAAAGTACTTGGAAATCAGTGCATATGGGAATTGTTCTGTAAGATCTGGGGGGAAATATCCATTGACCAGGACTAAGATTTCCTTGGCCTGCTCAAATACCAGTACTTTGCAGTCTTGATCAGTGTAGTGAGCAGTTTCACTAGGAAATTATTTTTGTTTCTGAAATAACTTTCATAAATTTAGATTGTCTATTAATCTTTTTATATCAAATATGAAGAATTTTTTTTGCCTTCATACACTAATGTCAGCACAGTTTAAGTTTGATTCTCCTCTATGTAGGCACTGTTGGGTTTGGTTTTTTTTTCCCCAGGAAATCTCAGTATTTTTCCAACACTTCCTTCATGTAATACTTATTTGTTTTTCACCTTTCAGTTTTTCTGTGTAAACATACTCCTATCACAAATCGTTTTGTCGTTTATCTTCAAGTTTTTGTTTTTGTTTATTTTTATTTTCTAGGACTCTCCTGTAAAAAACAAACCAAACAAACAAAAGTCCCTTACTGCCATGGTAGAGCTGTTGCTCCTCTTAGGATAAGCACTACGCCAAGGGATGGGAAATGCAAGCTTGTGAAACCCTCAGGAGCTGACTCACAATCACAAAATTCCCTGCAGGCTTCTTGCTAACGCTCAGTGTCAGGCCTAGATTTCCTTATTTCATGCCTGCCACGCACAGGATGATTCAGATTAAAGAGGATGCTACTTAAAACAATTAAACCCCACGGGAAATCATCAAGAGAAATAGTGGGATTAACTAAACCAAGTCTCTGCTCTGGTGTTTGCTCAGCTCCTGCTTTGGTCCAAACCTTCGTGGAGTTCATTGGCTGCTTGGCAAAGCAGTGTGTCCAGAACTCAGTGTAGATTCAGGGACAACAATTGCTGCACTCAAAAGTATTTTTGTCATGTATTAAGTCTCTTAAAGCCTTTTGTCTAAATGAATCAGTAGAGGCCAACCCAGCACGGCAGAAATCTCTTTTCTTCCCACCTTCTCCTCGCTTCCTGACTCTTTTCCATGTCCTGCATACAATGGGAAAAAAAAGCCTCAATTGGGTGTTTTATGAATTTTCCAAGTTCGTATTTACACACGCCAATAAAACTTTCTATAGCAACAGTGAGTTTCTAAACAGCAGATATTTCATGGATGCAGTGTATCTTTTTATGGATCAGAAGGCCAGAGCAGGGCTGCAGACCTGCATATTTTGCAAGTTAAATCTCTAATTACTCTAAAAGGTTGTACACCTCTAATGATTTAAGACAACAGATCGGTCTATTGTTCATAACAGCTTTTTCTGGAAATGCCATTTGTCACGTGTTCCTAGAGCTTTCAAGATTAATGATGGAATGGATGGAAAGTGACTTAGTTTCTTTATACAGCCACCCCTTATATTTTTGTTCTTGACTTAAAAAGTAATCTACCTCTTAAAAAATTTGTAGTTTAATACTTGTTTGGTGAATTTGTGCCACTTTAACTTTCACTTTCACTATCATTCCCATTTTGTTACATTTCTGTTATGGGGACTTTATGTTGAAATATTGTATAAAGCATTTGTAGCAAGTTTAAAAAAAAATAAAATATTTAAAATTATTTAAATTGTTTTGGACACTTCAATTGTACTATATGTGATTTGCATTTTACATTAATTTCATTTTGTTTTCATTTTGGGTTGTTAATCTTGGAGCATGTTCCTGTATTAAAGTTTGCTGTTAGTTATATTGTTTCTTCTATTGGAGAGTGCTATAAAGACTATTCTAATGAAAACATTAAAATTACAATTTGACATAAAAGTGGGGTTGTCCTTGCTTTTGAACACTGTAGCCTTGCTGAAGGGGCTGTAATGCAGGTAAGCAGCTGCAGAGGGATTTTCCTCCTCCATCCGTCCATCCTGTAAATTCCAGCTGTAGTTCCAAGTCTGTGGTGTTGCAAGCACTTAATGACCAACTAGATGGAACCATCATGGCACATTTTCTATAACCAATAAAGGAAACTTTTTAAAAACTCGTGGGGAACTTGCCTTTTGTGTGTAAAGCAGGAAAACTGAAACGATGTACATCTAGGAGGAATTAAGTGTTCTTGCATCCTTCAGTTGGCTGTGCCCCAGTTCACTGAAATGAATTTATACCAATTTGCCACTTCTGACTTAGCCTTAGGATTTTGCTTTTTAATTGTGGACACAGTCAATAAATTCAAAGTATTTAAATAAAAATTGCACGCACCATTTCAACTTCGGATATTATAGTGTTTTTCTGATACTACAGTGTTCTATTTTTATATGCTTTAAACTTGTGAAACAGTTTAATAAAAAAATTACATATAAAGACTTTGGCTCTGAGAATTTTGGAATGTTTTATTCCACCATCAAGATAAATGTTCTGCCTCCTGCAGTGGAGCTGGAAGTATCTGTGTCCCACAGTGGTGTGGGATGGAATAATGTGACATGGATAAGCCTGAGAGTGTTACAGCAGCCAATTCCTGCACATGGTCACTCCTAGTCCAGTAGTATTTTATGGAGCTGTCTATTCAAATTAATGCTTCTGTTTAAGATTCTCTGGTAAGAGCTCCCAATTAATTTTCTCGTGTGCTGTGTCATTCCTTGAACATGTTCTCTCTGTAACAAGGTTTGCCATGGGTTTTGGCTGAAGGGAGGATGTGGTGCAGTGCTGCAGAGGTCCCAGTGCTGCTCCTGGAGTGGTTTTGCACTCACACTGCAGTTCAGGAGCTGCACCACGAGGGAAGAGTTGAATCCTTAGTCTACAGCAGCAGTTCCATCAATGGTAGGAAGCTACAGTGAAGCTTTTTCAGTCTTGACTAGATTTTACTCAGTTTACCCAAGTGAAAACATGCTTTTGCATACCCATATTTGTATTTGGATATTTTATAAGAATTGAGGCACAAAAAAAAGTTTAAAAACCTTGGTAGTTTCGAGACTACTGAGGGCAGGAGATAAACTTTAGTAGCTGTTTCACATCTTCTGTTGCTGACAAATGAGATGCCAGTTGGTGTTTGGTCTTTGCAGTCTCAGTATTTCAGTCACCTTGTAAGGATTTATTGGCTGTGAATAGCAGTGAACTGATCATAAAGCAGCCTCATTCCTTGATGTTCTGGCAGAAATGTTGCCATTGTCTTTGCTGTGATATTAAGTCCTGTTGTGTACCAAGGACGTGCCACACAGATGTTCACCCTCATTTGCACCCACCAGTTCACCAGTGAGGGGATCTCAGCTCCAAAATCAGAGTGGATCCTCAGGGGGGTTCATTCCTAAATAGGTGACTCGTGGCAGATACAAACATCCAGCTTTCACAGTTACTGTTGCATCTCATCTGCATAATTGAATTTCCCTGGCTTTTATAGCCGCCTCTTTATGATCTGAAGCAACAATAAAGCTGTGATGTTGCCCACAAAGTGCTGACACGTCTTGAAACACATCCAAACAGGCAATGAAAACAATTAAACTTGTCCTGTTTACAGAGACCAACTGACACGCTGGGAGAGATCAAATGAGTGGCAGTGTAATGCAAACAGCGAGGCAGGAGCTGATGTGGAGACAGGAGAGCTGACATGTTGTGTTTACCTTTTTATTTTCCTTTAGCCAGTTTGTTAGAAGGTGTTAAAACCAGCTTGTGGCTGGGACTGTGTGAGCTGGGCTCAGTGCTGGCTGTTCCAGGGCAGTGCAGGTGATGCAGCCAGACCCTGCTGGGCCAGCTCCTGGCTCTGGGAGCTGCCCGAGGTGCTTCAGGCTGGGCTGACTCTGCTCTCTGCTCTGTCAGCATTTTCTATTGCAAGGCTGTTATTTAAAATCCTGCTGTAGTTCCTGACGATTTTCTTGAGTCTGATGTCTACATGTTCCATTCCAAATGCAAGTAGGAATGGCACTTGCTCCATTTGCTGTGGTTTGTGACTTCACTTCCAAAATTATTGTCCAATTCCAGCTTTTACTGGAGTCAAGTTCAGCCGAGAAGCTGAATTGCACCAGCAAACCTGTGACAGACAAACAGCTCATGAATGACCTTAAAAAGAGAACTTAGAAGACTTTCCATACTAATTCTGGCTTTGATTTACCCAGTGTGAGATCTGTGTGAGTCACATGATGTTGTGCTTCTGTCCATGATGAAAAGGAGCTAAAGAACAGTTTTTGAGCAACAAGTGCATGCTGGTTTGGATCTGAGCTTGTGTGGTAAGTGAATGATGAGAGAGGTGAAATTCCACATCTGTTTAATTAAACTGGTGAAGAATAGCAGCTCTCTGATGGAAGAGGGCATGTGTAGGACCTTCCAATATTTTTTGAAAGAGTGGGATGGTGAGGAAAATAAATCTTATTTCAGAGCAAGATGCAAATAAAACACTAAGAAAGGCATGATATATTAAGTGTACAGTTAATGGTCTATTGTGCACACTAAGTGAGAGTGAAAAATTATTGTTATTAAGGAGGGATCTTATAGGTATGAAGGAGTTACTGTCATTTCCAAAGCTTTTTTGGGGATTTTTCTTTGCAATTTAAGTAATGTCTTAGAGGTGTTTTTTGAGTGAAATGAATACCAAGGTAACACTGACTGGAGCAGAAGTTGATGCTGCTTTGTGCCCATCAGTCCCCACCCAGAGGTGTAAATGCAAGTAGATGGTTAGAGTGGGAATGGGTGTAAAGAATCCAATGTCTAGCACTGGATTCCTGACAGAACAGAGGAGCAGGAGGTCCTGGAGTCCTGTTCTGCCTCTGGATCACAGTCTCCAGCCACCAAAATCCTCTTCCTTAGTTCAGAGGAAGCCTTGCTGCCAGAGTCCCCTCTCAGTGCTGCTGCTTCCCACTCACACTTCACTGCTTTCCATTCTCATTTTGCTGATCCTGCACCTTCTCTTAGCAAGTCTTTAAAGATGCTTTTGGTAGAGGATGCACTGGACAAAGAGCACTGAAATACTGCTTGCCTTTTTTTTTTTTTTTCCAGATACCAAGCAGTAAAATTGAAACTCAAAGGGAAGCTTGAGCAGGCATCAAGTTGGAGGGAGGCTTTTTCTTAAGAGATAGGTAGCTGCTTCATTTTCCTAATTTATTCAAAGCTCCAGTGGTTTGTGGAGCCCGGTGTAGCAATCAGCAGCGTGCACTTTGTTTGTGTTTGTATTGCTCTGTTTAATTTTTTAAGACTTTTATGTTTCACAAGCCAAACAGGGTCTCTGAGTCATGCTTTGGATGACAGTACTCCCAGAAACTGCCAAAGGGTTGTGAGAAACAGCTTTGATTATTCAGTGGGTGATGTTCCATGTTTCAGAAGTACAGGCTCAGCGTTCAGGCTGAGTGGTGCAAGGCACTGTGGGACAGCAGGTGAGCAGCAAAACTGAGACTTACAGCACTCAGAATGCCCTGAGCCAGTCAAAAAAGAGGAATAACCTTATATCTGGGCCTGTTCCAGCAAAGCCCTCCTTGATTCCAGCTGAGGGAGCTGGGGGGGCTCAGCCTGGAGAAAAGGAGGCTCAGGGGGGACCTTCTCACTCTCTGCACCCCCCTGACAGGAGGGGGGAGCTGGGAGAGCTCGGGCTCTGCTCCCAGGGAACAAGGGGCAGGAGGAGAAGACACAGCCTGAAGCTGTGCCAGGGGCTGCCCAGGGAGGTTTGGAGTCCCCATGGCTGGAGGTGCCCAGGGAAGGACTGGACCTGGCACTCGGTGCTCTGGGCTGGGGACAGGCTGGGGCTGGGGCACAGGTTGGACTCCAAGGCCTTGGAGGACATTTCCAACCTTATTGAGTCTGTGGTTTCTTCTGCACTTCAGACAGGGCTGCTCAGCAAAGTTAAATGCCTGTGGTAAAGTAAATGCAGGGACTTTTTCAGGGCAGGGACTTTGCTGGGAGCACAGAGGATGTGCTGCCTGCTGAGGGCCTCTGGAGGCTCATTCCTGTGCCCAGCCCGGGGGTGAACAGCACTCAGGCACATTCCAGCTGTGTGAAGGGGCAATTTATGTAGTGTGTCATTTAGGTGCTGAGATTCCTGCTCAACATTGCAGTGTGGAAGGAGGTGGAAGGCTGAGAAATAATGAATTCTTCCATCACTGAGCTGCTGTGGAGAATTTCACCCTTGAACTCCGCCCTCACTGGAGTTTGAGGTTGTTTTCTCCATTCATTGTGGCAAATGCTCCCACTCGGCTGTCTTTGCAAATCTAAAGCACATTTTATTCTGTGGTTTCTTTATGTAATGAGATGTGCAGGACAGAGGGGTCATCCTAGTGCTTGCTACCCTTCAGCAATCATTTTGAGCTCCTTTGGAGTCACCATTTCTGTGTAAATAAAATCAACTGCAGTGTTCCCTGTGTGTGATCAAAGTGCTCTCATTCTGTTATGAATGTGATTCAGCACATACCAACTTTTTACCAAATTGGATTCCCTGACAGTGCAGAAGATGGTTTTGAGTACTGCTATTTTTAATTCCACATTCTTCACCTTTTGGCTCACACAATGCCCTGTGCTGCTTTAAAAGGGCAGGAAGATAAATTGCTGTCATGATACAGTTCATCTAAATTTACAGACCTAGACCAGGATTTCTTAAAGTGACTAATAATCTCTTTGAGCTCCATCTCAAGTACCTTCAAGGAGACTGATTTTCTGGAGGAGCTCAGGAGAATTCCTCCCCAGAGGAGTCCTCAGTGCCAGATTCCTTTTCAGGGGCTGCTTTAGATCACTGGTTGCTTTTGAAAATCGGGTTATATTTAAGTAATATGGTATTGATACATCAATTTTAGAGTCCCCTAGATGAGCTGTAGGCATGGTGTCAGATTCCTTCTTGCTTTTGGTTTGGTGTTCATCCC